GGGTTTATGGTTTAGGGTGTAGGGTGAGCCCTACATAAAAACACGAAACCCTTGAAACAAGAACGCAGGTGAAATGCACTGCATGCAGACCATCGGGTGCGTCAAAGGGCTCGAGCAAGTTCGGAATCAGCCCCAGAAAATAGGCCTGTCAGTCAGACTTCCCTGATCACTGATGTTCATTGGCTTTGCGAATATGTAGCTCGTAAATTGATGTTGGCATAATTAGATGAAGGGAAAGCTAGAATCACCAGGACAGCAACGTGCGGTGAGTAGTGGCGATACCATGACAAATCCAAATCATGGGAGACTATGGCTAGCCCGAACTCTAGATAGAAGCTTTCTACGGCAGCTGAAAGCTGATAGTCCTACTAAGCCCGAAGCCCCAAACCTTCACCAAACTTCTTGCAACCCCCAAGCCCCCAATTCCTGAACCCTAAACATCAAAACCCAAATCCAACACACCGAAACCCTGCACGAAAGCAGTTCCCCATGTAGCAAACCACTAGCACACACAGTCTACAGCCTTGCAAAACTCCTAAACCCGAAGCCCAAAGCCCGAGACCCTCCACGGAATCCTTGAAGAAGCCTACACCCTTGGGAAGGAAGGCTTGGTCGTTCATCTGTTCCCGAGTCCCTACGACTGCACCAAGCCTCGCCATTTAGGGTTTAGGGTTTAGGGTTTGGGGTTTGGGGTTCAGGGTACGGTCTACACTTCCAGGATCCTAGAGCCCTTCTGGGTCGTTCACAGTGGAGTAGTTAGGCTGTAACGGAAGGTTTTTTTTGTTTTTTGGGGGGCCTGGTTCAGTGTTGTGGGGCCGGGCTTGCGAGATAAGGGGTTCATGGTTGCTCCAACAAAATACTTTTTTGCTCAGGGTTCTAAGCCGAGTAGAGGGATGTTGGGTTGTTAAGGGTCTTCATAAAGGGCCTTCAACGGGCTTTAAGGTCCAACCAGGCGCAGAGAACTCCAGAATGGCAGGGTGTTGAAGTCGAAAGGCCGTGAAGTGGGGCCCTTGGGCTGGGTTTTGGGGCTTACCTTAAGAACCCAAAACCCACTTTTTGTGTAGGTTCTTATTATAAACCCTAATATGGGGATTTATAGGGACCCTACAAAAAAGTAGGTTTTGGGGTTCTTAAGGTAGGGTTTGGGGTGAGACGAGCTGTGTAAGTCTTCACGCAATTCAAGGCTTTCGGTTTTGGACTTGAAGGGTTCAGTGCTTTAGGGTTTAAGGCACTCGACCCCGCTACCCGTAAACCCTGAACCCTAGATTATCGAGAGATGCAAGGAATTTTCGATGAGGAGGGTGGCGACGAGTTTGGGCTTTCACCGAGTTGAGGGCTGTAACACGCCAGCGTCGGAACGAGAGAAAGGGACGCAATTTAAAAAACCTAGACCGCAAATCGGAGGCCGTAAACGCCAAGCCCTGCGCCCTATGCCCCAAACTCAAAGTCCTACACCGGAAACCAGCCGGAAACTAAGGCTACAAGTTCGGCGAGTTCGACCAGTTTCCACTTCCTCAGATGCTGTCGTCCTCGATGGAGGAAGTCGTGCTGCAGTCGAAGGCTCGCCTTTGCTTGATTTTTTCGTTGCAGTCTTCAGGAACTAGGAAGCCTCAACAAGAGTAAATGCCGATGCGCGGGAATTCTGTCGTAACTCAGACCCCCACCTGCATCATCAAGGCCCCTATACAAGGGTTTAGGGTTTAGGAACTGGTATTCTGGGTTCGAGGTTTACTGCTCTTTATCCATCCCACAAGGGCCATTACAAATCCTGGACCAGTTCTAGGAAGAGTAACAACCGTCTTGGATCAAGGCAAGCTTAGCCCTGCAACGCGAACGCCACATCCTGAACACCTACAGCTCTAGAACACCCTAAGATTAAGAGTGCCGGGTCAGGTAACCACTTTGGGAGGTTGAAACCCTAAACCCTAAACCCTAAACCCTAAACCCTAAACCCTGGGCCTAAGAGGCGCCGCTATTTGAGATATCTCGAGGTTGAAGTATTTCGAGGCTTCAGCAGCCGCATTGCCAACCTTTGCTTATAGGGTCCTGGGGCGACAGAGGCTCCCTTGTGGGATCTGTATCGGGGGATCTGGGATCTTAGAGCTTAGGTTCCCTAAACCCTAAACCCGGGAATGGGTCAAATGTACCTTGTTATCTAGATCCTATTACGCGTAGGGCTGTGGGCTCTTGTAAGCTTAATTTCAAGCCGTCATGTCCGTAGATATGCAGGATTCAAGGTGATGTGCTCCCTAAACTGTCGGGTGCTGTCGTGTAAGAGTGGTTCTGGTCTCTACCGCTCCAGGCAGCTGTGTCAATAGGACTCACCAAGTCTAGACTGTTTCAATGGAACTTTTCAATGGAACTATTCTGGTTGGTTCCCATTGCAGCGGATGGCCCATGCATGCCTTTGCAGCCCACCCGGTCCAAATCCACGTAATTTAAGCCCTACATCTCTGCACTCCAAACCCGAGCGAATCGAAACGCGGGGCCCCACACCAAAATCCAGACAATCCTGAACCTGATAGCCTACAGCCCTGAAAACATTATAAAGCCCTAGTAGAACCCGAATGGTACCAGTCATAGCTGCACCTAAACCCAGACCCTTTGGCCACCCCTAGACTTTGCAGGTCATCCACGGCGGATCGAACACCGAGATTTCTTCGATGCTCACAAACTCCATGGCTGCACCGCAACCACAGGCCCGCAGTCGTTGTCAAAGGGGTCCTCGGATTGCGGGCTTTGGGTTTTAGGAAATTTAGGGTTCAGGGTGTTTTTGGGTTCAGGGGTTTGTGATACAATGTAGAAGCCTGTATAGTCTTACCGATTCTGATAACTAGGGCTAGGGCTCTTGATGATACTGATCCGATAATATACCCAGAAACCCTGCTCCGAGTCTATATTACAATTTTCACATAAACCTTCGTCTAGTCATTATGCAGGCCGCTGTTTTTTGGTGGGGGGTGGTTGAGCCCCTAAATCCCCTAAACCCCCTAAACCCCCTAAACCCTAAAGTTGAGGCTTCGGCTTCAGAGTTAGGGCCAGCGACCTTCCACCGGCTCAGGGGTTCGGGGCTCGGGGGTTCCGAGTTTACCTATGATCTCCATTGTAGTTCCTTTTTGGGGATACCTTATAAAATCCATACTATATATTTGGTTAAACCAAAAAAGGAACCACAATGGAGACTATAGGTAGAGTTTATTGCTTTGCGAGTCTCGGGTTTAGGATTCAGAGTTTATAGCTTGTAGAGTCTAGGGTTTAGGGTTCAGAGTTTGTAGCTTTTTGGAGTCTAGGGTTAAGGGCTTAGAGTTTGTAGCTTTCAGAGTCTATGGCTTGGTTTAGAGTTTATATCTTTTAGAGTCTAGGGTGAAGGTTTACAATTTGTAGATTTTAGAGTCTAGGGTTATATAGGTTTGGGTTTATGGCTCAGGGATCCCCAATAAGGCTGCACGGGTGCTACAGACGGCCGTTGTCAGCACCTGCCAGCGACGTTGAAACTGATTCCCTAATAGGATTCTTAATATGAACCTCAAACAGGAACTACTCTAGGGCCTATGGGTAGCAACTGCATCGCGATCAACCAGAAAACTTCAAGGTTATATCACCAGTTGCAATGAAAACTGTCATAGCCATCTTACATCTCAGTCAACCCTCAATTACCCTGAAACCTAAGCTAGTGATAAGAACAGTTTCCATATGCCTACCCTAAACCCTAAACCCTAAACCCTAAACCCTAAACCCTAAACCCTAAACCGCCGCTAGTTCATCATCTCGAACCGGGCTGTTGGGGCGAGCGGAAGATTCCAGCACCCAGGTCCTACGCTGAAACCCTAACTAAGGGTTTTTCGGTTTTGGGGCTATAGGTTGTATCTAGGGTTTAGTTAAGGTTTAAGGTTGAATATAGGGGCCTTAATGTTGTAAATAGGGTTTAGGGTTAGGGGCTGAGTAGGTAACCTTTAACCTTTTAGGCCTTATATAATCCTATTATAATTCAAAAGGTTAACCTTTTTGGGCTAGGGTACTCAGCCCCTACAAGCTAAAATCCCAAACCCGGTGTTTAGAGTTTAGGGCGTAGGGCTGAATAGAAAATCACGAAATCCTTCAGAGCCTATAGCCCTAAGGGTCCATGTACCCAAATAGTATACACTTTGGCCTTAAAGTAGTCCCTATATAGGTGCTTTGGGGCCAGAGTAGATACTATTTGGGTACATGGACCCTTAGGGTAGCGCTTTAAAGAGCACATGCCAAAACTTGAGGGTTTGGGCTTTGGGGCTTCGAAGAATCAGATCCCAAAGATGGAAACCTCGAAACTCCGCACCCTTGGGACTGGGCTTCACTCCTCGGATTCTGGGTTTCAGGGGTTTAGGGGTTAGGGGTTTAGGGGTTCGGGGTTTAGGGTTTAGGGTTTAGGGTTAGGGGTTTAGGGGTTATGGGGTTTAGGGTTTAGGGTTTGAGGGTTTAGGGCTTAGGGTATGGGGTTTAGGCTTTAGGGAGCCTGCGCTGCGAGGCCGTACAGGCAGCTGTCAAGCTACTGAAGGATCCGACCTCGCTGTTCACAGGTTTCGAGCTTCTGTTAAAGGCCTTCTTACACTCTTCCTGTGTAAGTGTAAGGATGTGTGAGGTCGAAAATTTTGTACAGGGCCCAGGATGTTGTGGTTTTGGGGCCTTGGTATTGGTTTCGGGTAGAAATCCCCAAAGCTCCGAACCCAATCAGGACTTTCCCCATACAAATTAGGGGTTGCACGTGGCCCTTAATGGAGACTAGATGGAGAATCTAAGTTTATCGTTAACTCTGTAACCGTTCGCCGTTCGCCCCACACCCCAACCCTCCACACCCCGCACGCCCCGAAGCCCTGGTTTTGAAAAGCCCGAAACTCTATCTTACACTGTAATGCCTTTTGTTGGGTTTAACCTGCCGCAGTCGATGCTTGAGGTTGTCTCTGCAGACCTGGGTAAGCTTTGCTTGCGAGGCTTCCGGTTGGCTGGACAGATCTGGAACATCGCTCTTTTGGGAATGAAGGGCGATCTGGAAAGCCACCACAAGACAAGTCTGCTGACGCGAAGCCACCCCTAAAGCCCAAAACCCTAAAACCCTACACTGTGACCCTAAACCCTACACCCCTAAACCCTACTAAACCCGACACCCCTAAACCCTAAACCCTAAAACCCTAAACCCCAAATTCAGCCCTAGAGCCTTAATCCAGCTGTGAGGATATGAACTGCCTCACCCGAGCCGGCGAGCTGACTGTTCTAGGCACCCGCCTTCTTTGAAAGAGGGGCCCTTCCGGGGCTTAGGGCTTAGGGTTTAGGGGTTTAGGGGTTTAGGGGTTTAGGGTTTAGGGTTTAGAGTTTAGCGTTTAGGGTTTGGGGGTATTAGGATTTAGGGTTTTGGGGTTTAGGGTTTAGGGGTTTCGGGTACACGTTGCCTTAACTCTGAGGTTACCAGGCCGAAGCCTAAACCCTACAGCCTATAAACCCTAAGAGGCCTTAGCCCTAAACCCCAGACCCTAAACCCTAAGTCCTAAACCCTAGACTCCATGACTACACTCCATAAGGTGAGCCACCATAACCCTGGACTTGGACCTGACAGAGAGAAGGAAAGTGGGCGAAAGCTTTCGTTCGGGATGTCCAATCTTGGCTCAGAGGTTGCGCGTTCAGGGTTTGGGGTCAAGAGTTTTTGTTGGTGGTTTAGGGTTTATCATTGCCAAACTTGAGCTACAGTCTGGCAATGATTGCATGCATGCATGCATGCATGCATGCATGCATGCATGCATGCATGCACATGAATGCAATCAAGAAAAATGAATAAAAGACTTAGCGGAATAAAACAACAACGAATGGATGGATGAATGACTGACTGACCGACTGACTGGCTTGCTGGCTGACTGACTGGCTGACTGACTGACTAACTGGCTGAAAGATAGAATGAAAGAAAGAAACGAATGACTGTCGAGATAAATGGATGAGGATAAACCAGAGAAAGAACACATGACAGACTGAATGGAGTGAACTGAGATAGAGATGAAATGAGATGATGTGACTGAAAGAATGAATAATGAGTGGATTGATGAATGCATGAGTGACTGTGTGAGTGAGTGAATGAATGAATGAATGAATGAATGAATGAATGAATGAATGCATGAATGACTGAATGAATGAATGAATGAATGAATGAATGAATGAATGAATGAATGAATGAGTAATGAAAGACAGGAAAATGTGTGATTTCCTGAGCGATCGAATGAACTGCTATCAGCAGATAAAAGTAGAAGTATGCACACATCTCTTTGTATGCATAAAAATGGTTATGTTCGTACATGTACGTACACGTCTCGTGTCTATGATGAGATGAGGCCTTGGAAGTCGTTGGAAGCCCAAGTACCGTTGGGTCACTACCGTTGTTTCTTAGAGGAGGATCCTGACCACAAAATAAGTTCCCCCAAAACGGCGTACTACATTCTGGAGTATCAAAACGGCGTACTACATTCTGGAGTATAAGTATGAAAGAACCCTGAATCCAAAAATCTTACAAGTCCCGCGTGGGCACACATCCCAAACCCAGCTGTCTGAAAATCCTTTTCTGACCAGGTCGTGCGGTGGCCACTATTCCGGTGCAGCCGAACGCAAGGGGCCTAGCCCGATCAACAGTGTGCATATGCACTGTATCTCTCTCACTATATATATATATATGCACATGTATTTATGTATTGCACAAACATATGTGCATGTATACATTTACATATACATACACATTCAATCACATACACACACACACATACAGTTTCTTCCATACGCGAAAATCCCATTCTTGAGGGGTGGGCCGGTTGCTGGGTCATGAACTATGGTTACCTGCTAGGTTTGGTCAGGCAGGGGTACCGGGGTTGATATTCGGGCAGGATGATCGATGAGAGGGTTTTGACCTCAGGAGCAGGAGAATGCGAGGCCTGCATATTGGGGTTTCAGAAAATAGGGGACCCTAATATAGTACCCTAAATAGTAAGATCGTTATTATAAGGACTCCCAAATAGGGTACCCTAATTTTCGGAAACTCCCATATTGCAGTCGCAAAATCTTGTTGGAACCTGAAGGTTCGATGCCGCAATGCCGATATGCTAGCAGCCGGAATCCCTCCGACCTCCTCATCCGTTTATCCTATCAAAATTCCTACCCACAAAGTCCCAATCATGAAGACCCCAAAGGACCCTAAACTAAACCCACCCTGCCAAAAAAATCCCAAGCCTTAAACCCAAACAGGCTTTCTTGGAGCAACAGCCCAGGAAAAAGGTCTTCAAACATAAACCTAAACCGACCCTAGACACGAAGGTGGCAAAGTTCCTGCTCATCGCCGCAGCCTTCCGCTGCATTAAGTGCGGGGCTGAGGACTTTGGAGTGCAGAGCAGGACGGACACCCTCCAACATTCAGAAGCCTAGAGAATTAGTTTAGGGGCTTTAATAATTAGAATAGAGTTTGGGGTGTACTATACTATGATTATAATAAGGAGCCCCCAAAACCCTATTCTCCCTCGGAAGCCTAGAAAATTACCAGTATCGTTCCTTAGGCTCCAAGGGTTCCTTATCATAGCTGTACTGTAAAGGATCCCCAGCTTCTTAAAGGGTTTGGAGCGCCGTAACACTGCGGAATTACGACCTCAGAAACACTAATTAAGCATAATGCAGGGCTTCCGTGGCCGTGAGTCATCGGGTTGAGGAAGCTATGCGGCTGTTGAGCTCATAGACGACATCTTCGGTGGGTTTCAGATTCATATCGCGCAGCATACATGTAAATGTGCTGCCATTGACTGCATGAATGCTGGCTTGTCCTCTTTCCAAGCATGTCATGTTTCGGGGATTCAGGTTTCGTCGGGTCTACGGGTGTACGTCGCTGCGGCTCCATCAGTCGAGCCTTCGGGCTTACGTGATCTTCCTGAAGTCGGTCCATTTGCAAACTTGCACAGCCTAGACACTTCATACTTATCCTTGTCCCCATACGTCATACCATGAAGAATTGCACAAACAAGTACTTGCGCGTTTGTAAACCTTACAGTGTGTGAATAATTATCGTCTATGCGCCCTGCACCGGCTCAGTCTGCCTCGAGATACTCAGAGGATCAGGTAATTTGGAGTATAGCCTGGCAGGCAAGCTGTGATTGGGGTTATGAGTACGCTAGCTAAAGTTATTCCATGATCACCGTACTGATATCCTAGACTAAGACCCTAAACCCTAAACCCTAAACCCTAAACCCTAAGACTCTAAGTAGTACGTCATTCAGGCCAGCAGCCTGCATTGCTGCCTTCCTCTCAATCAAGAGCCCCTTTCAGCTGCTCGGCGATCTTCGTGTTCACTTTGATTCTATTCGGATTCTGCGCGGGTTTTCGAAAATCGGTTCTCTAAGAGTTCTATAAGGGCTCCAGTACAATAGACTTAGTCTTCCAGCAGTGAATATGGCCATCATTCCTAATCATTCTGGAGCATGAAGGTTCCCTCTTCGCGGAACTTGTTTAATGTGGATTTAGGGTTTTTGGTTTAGGATTTGGGGATCCTAATCTTGGAGACCTTCAGGGGGTGGATTTCTCACTATCCGCTAGCAGCAGAGATGGGCCAGTTCCTTGCTTGTTGTCTTCCGGGTAAGCAGCGGTTACAGAGGATCGCGAGCTTTCTCCATCGGATCCTCAGTGCCTTGATGGGCAGTTTTTGCACACAGACATCATGGTACTTCCAAATACCAAGATCCTAATTTTGGAGCACGTAGGTGCGGGCTCAAAACCGCTTGCAAAACCTTCGAGCAAACTGCAAAATCCTTGTAGAATCCCTATAAAGCCCCCTGGGATATGAAAGCTGTTCGGGTAGTTAGGACTCTCTGCGTCGGCACTAGTTCCCAGTCCGCTTGAGGACAGACCTCAACCCCCACGGTTCGGAATCGGAAGCCCCAAACCCTAGGGTCGTGAATTTTAGGGTTTACGGTTATGTAGAGTAAACTCTAAACTCTACAACCGAAGTCGAGGCTTTCCTTCAGAAGGAGCTATCCTCTTGTGCTATGGACTCGTATCTAAGATTCAGAGCTAGAAACCCTAAACACTGAACACTGACCCCTTGAATACTGTTGTTCGACCGCAGCGGGGCGGGAGTGGGCTGAAACTGCTTCAGGCAATCTGTCAACGAAAGCCAGGACAAGGGCAAGGCGGGCAAGAACCCTTCAAACGCTGGGGCATGTAAACAGTGTATAGGGAGAAGGTAACTATGCGTAAAGATATATACATACATACATACATACATACATACATACATACATATATATATATATATATATATACGTATGTGTGTGTGTGTGT